AAACCAGACCCCCCTCCCCCAGAACAAAAAGGGATGGAACTCCCCAACAGCCTGGCCGTTGGTCAAGGTTTTGCTGTTGTGATTCCTTGCAATTGTTTGTACATTTTTTGGCAGGCATGCTCCTTTGTTGGCGGCGTTCTCACGACTGCAGGTTGCGACCATCTACTGCTGGGGATTATTATTTGGAGTGGTCCAAGATGCTTATATTTGTTAGTTTTTCGTAGGCAACCAAAAGAGAACCTGCCCAATGGGGCGAGGAAGTGCACGACCAGGGAATGAGCAGAGGCTTCAATAGGTGTGGTGACATAAGGGAGGGTCCAGCCTCCATTGTATGAAGTGGCCCGAGACGGTCGTGGTTGCAGCCCATGAATGACAATATGTCAGTGGGACCCATTTGTTGAAGCTTGGCTTAAGGACCTCGAGTTTTTGTTGAAACATTGCGCCGATTGCATGACCAGCTGCCGGAGCCTGTGAATTTGGGATACGAGCTCAAGTCTTAATGTCCATCGCCCGGCAGGGTGGGGCCACAAATTCTGGACGCGTCTCCAATGCTTTGTCGCTTGAATTGACGGAACTGGCCGTACCCTGCTTGTTAGAGGGCCAGCAAGCCCAAAGAGGGCACCGAGTAGCAGCCCCAGAGTGCGCCCTGCCACGCATCTGCGTAGAGTCCAAGGCGGGGGGGGGTGGTTCGGCGAATGCACTTCCAGTCATGTTTGCTGTTGCTCCTTCCAACCACAAGAAACTGGCCGGTTGTGGAAAGGCGCCATGACACCAACTAAATGGAAGGAAGTCCAACTGACTTTTTGTGCACCCTAAGGGATTCCGGAGGCAGAGCCATCAAGGCTACTGGGTGGCAGGGGGCGTTTGGGGGCAATCTCGGCGGATTTCCGCGCCATCCGAGCCAAGCGAAGCCAAGCGACTGAACGACGAAGAACTGGGCGCTTGGAGGTTTTGGCCTTTTGGCTTGTTTGTTTTGTTCATTCGAATCAGGGGTTGTGAAAGCTAGGAGAGAGCCCCGAAGGACAATTAATTGGTGCGGGGGGTTTTGATCGTGCCGCAACTGGCTTGGTAAGGTTCCCGGAATCGAGCGGATCGGAGCGCGCTCGGAAAGGCAACGGAGCGCGGCCAAAAGACGGGGGATGGAGTGTGCGAGTGCGCTGTCTGAAAACGAGGGGAGCCTCAGAATCATGGGGTTCCTTTAGGTTTCCCTTCAAAGCCAACAGGGATAGCACCCCCTGGGGCGGATCTATCCAGGGCGCGGGGATCTACCCAGTTGCCACACCAAGGAGTTGTAAGGTGACAAGATGGGTATTGGTTAAGATGGGGGAGCCGCTTTCCCTTTGCTCACCCTGCAAACCAACCCTGAAAAGGGTACACGCAACAATTTCACACCCACGGATTGCTTGTTTGAATCCTGTGGATACGCGTGGGGCAACAAGCCTCGTCGATGTGTGCAACTTCCGACTGGATTCAGCTTCTACAAATCGATTGTCAATGGAGGCGATGCAGATGCATATTTGCTCGTTCAGTTTTGCGAAAGCTATAGCAAGCTCACATACGGGGTCAAATGAGCTCATGATGACGGTCCCTTACCTTCGTTGTTTTTGGTGGGTTTGTGAACAGCAATCGCTCCTACCATTGCCACAGGCAGGCTCCTACCATTGGCAACTCGGCAGCCGTTTTGGCTACACCTCACATGGGAGACTTCCTGCCAGGCGACATGACAGTGCCACACAGCCAGATGCCAATAAGGGAAACCTTGTGAACATACATGTGGAGCATGTTTATGTCTTTCTCGGGGGGAACAAACACCAGCGGAAAGGGGGAAATCAACTAATTGTGAGCCAGCCCCAGCGTTTTTTTTTTTGTTTGTACAAGATGACATCCATTTGCAGGTGTTGCCTTGTTTTGACCTAGATTGAATCGCGTTCCTGGACATGGCGTAAACCCTGCTGAACGAATAGATTCACAAGCACAAGATGTGAATTAGCGCAGTGCAAGCCAGCAGTGCCCTTCACAGCTATCAGAAGCTTGGTGTTGGCTTTCTTCCAGTTTGTTTTTCTGCCAGAGAAAGCGCAGAACACATGCCTACGTTATTTGCAAATCATGGAACCAATGGAACCACCCCACAACCCCACTCCAACAGTAGTTAGGCTCTTGTAGCAGAACAGTTTTTTTTTTGAAAAAAAAAACACAAAGGGGGAAGTTGTGTTCACCTCATGGGCGAAGCAACGCATGCGCTGATCTCCGCGGGCCAGGACGGAGAAATTGGGGGCGAGGTCTGATTGACACGGATCCACGTAGGTGGCCTTTTTGGGTCAGTTTGGTTTGTGTCATTTGGCTAAAAGGACACTAAAAGGGCACCTATGGGAAGCCAAGCAGAGTCAATTTTGCAGCTCTTGTCAATCTGAAGGGCAAAGGACTTGCTCTAAACTCTGCCCGTTGCACTTCAACATGCCTAGAGAGGAAGGCGTTGGCGGAGAAAATGTCAGCCAGGTGCTAGGTGCTGTTTGATGGCTTCAACACGGGCATTTTCCAGGCCTTGCGTGCGTGCCTGTGGAAAAAGGATGAACCACGGAGCCCGGAAAACCCTCTTCTTTTGCATGAAGTTGAGCCGAAATTGCTTGGCTTCTCTGATACAGGCTTGCAAACGGGAGGTTTGCAGAACCGGCCAGACGTCGTGATGTTCGAAAAACTGGCTGGTGCCATGCAGCGGGAGGTTTTCCAGCTGCCATGGTACTCCGGTTCGAAAGGATGGTCAGAATTTAAATGAGCAGGTTCGAAGAGGTTGACACATGTGTAAACAGGTGATCGGAAGCCCGCGAGGGTCCTTTCAGAAACTGTGTTGACACACATGCGGGGTTGGCACAAGTGGCATCCTGCCGGCTTGTGTTGGCGTCATTTGCCGCCCTTCTACAACAGTGTCCCAGTAAAATGTCGCCGTACATCCAGTAGTTTGGAGCGCCCTTCAAATTGCCACCACTTGAGGGGACCCGGAGGTACCGCATCGCTGTCAAGCTCTTGCTTTTCTTGGGGGGGGGCGTCTCTGCATGAGAAACAGGGAAGCCAAAAGCAAGCACTGCGCGCACAAAACAAATGCGCTTTTTCAACACCCCACTGTTTTCGGATCGCCCCAGGGCCCAACAAAAAAACAACCTCGCCGCACCAGGAGAAAAAAAGGAAAAAAAACAATCGTCGCGCCAGGAAAAAAGTCGCCGCCGTGGGGCGTCTCGCGCGCGTGTCACACGTCTCACGTTGAGGAGCTGATCCGGAAGCTGAAGGACCCCTCCGTGGATCCGGAGGAGCTGCTGCAGGTGGCCCACACGCTGAAGGAGCGGGACCATGTGGTAGGTGGGTGGCTTGGTGCCCCGCAAAAAGGGGGGGTGCCCGGAGCAAAGGGGTGCTTGGAAGGGAGAACCACGATTTTTTTTTGTGTGGGGGGGGAGAGGGGGAGTTCCCAGGTTTCTTGACGGCGTGGCCAGGTAGCGAAGAAGCTTTAGTTGGGGTCAAAAGTGGTGGACATAAGACCACAAGACCCCGTCATCCAGGGGCCCCCCAGTCGGAAATCATACTCAGGTGAGTGAATGTAGCGGCGGGAGTGCGAAGGGTTATTCACAAGTTGTCAAGTGGGGGTCATCCAAGGGCGCAAGGGCCAGGTGAGCTTGACGCCTACCTCTTTAACCTCTTCCTTGTCCTGCACGGTGAGACAAATACCCTTCCATCCAACATGAAACCCGACCGGGGCCTCTGGCAAAACCGCTTTCCTCGAAAAGGGCCGCGCGGATCACTTCCCAGTTGGTTCGCACCCTTAACCACTGGCCCAGCTTCCAAAAGTATGGAGCTAGGCACCGACGAAGGGAAGCCAAAAAGAAAACAGCCAGGGTTTGGTTCGGGGTCCGAATCCCTATGTCATGGTTGTTGTTGGGAAACATTTCACATGTTTACTTCCTGTGGTTTAGTGGTTGAAATCCCCACTTAGTTGCTAAAACAATGAGAATTTGTGCTCCCCTTCCAACGTCAACCAAGATGTGGACAGCTCCCCCGGCGGATGTTGGCACCCTGCGTCGATGAATCTCTTCGGCGCCAGTGCGCCAGGAGGAGCGGGGCATCCTGGCGGCGCGGGACGAGAAGGGGCGGTCGCCTTTACACGTGGCGGCCTCCCGGGGAGATCTGCGGCTCTGCCGGGCCATGATGGAGGCGAGGTTTTGGGGTTGGGGGGGGGTTGGGGGGGAAGGGAGGGGTGGGGGAGGCTTTGAGAGAATAGAAGCCAGGCATGTTTTTGTTGTTTCTGTTGAACGTCAGGCATGTTTACAACATAAAACACCTGATGATTTGGGAACATGAGAAGGTTTGGTGGCTTCAGCCAATTCCGGGATGTGGATGGGTGGGTGGGATTGGGCCGGGGCGGGGGCACCACGGGGGCAGCCGCGCAGAGATAGTGGTGGCCCAGGCCCAGCGCGCGAGCATGCGAGTGCCAGGCGGACCCGGGCTTGGTGAACCAGCTGGACGGCCAGAAGAACACGCCCATCATGGAGGCGGCCTTTCTGGGGCGGTGCATGATCGTGAAGGAGCTGGTGGAAAGGCGCTTGACGGGAAGGGGAGGGCTAGAAACGGGGGGCTGAAGGGTGGGAGAGTGGCTTGGGTGCGGGCTTTTGCCCGCCGCTTTCGAAAATGAGAGGGACCCCTGGTCCCTGGAGAAGGACCATTCTCAATTTCCCCTTTTTGGACAAGAAGGGGAGCCTGCGTTTTCGCAGCTTGGCAAATCAGGGGCCTTTGCCTAGCATGAGTAGAGCACATGTCTTTTGGATGTTTACTTTGTCGGTGTCGGCAGACAATCAGAGCTTGAAAAGGAGAGCGCGGTTTGCTTAGGCAAAGTTTGGCCCCGAAAGAGACGCAGATTCACCGTGAACCAGGGGGTGCGACAGGCGACCCCTTCGCGCGTTTCCTTCGCAAATTTCCACAGAAACGCAGCTGTTGAAATCGAGGGCTGCGGAGATCAA